AAGCCCAAACTAAAACCATTTCAATGAAAGCATGGGTGAGGGGATGTTGACTGCTTTACAAGAACAGAACAGCTCAGAAACAGGATTTTGCTCCAGTGGAAGATGCGTTTGCATTGATGCCATCTTTGCAGCTTCCCCACAGCATGCAGATGAGAGGCGATGCTCAGTGGAGATTTGTACCCTTGATCTGACACGGTTATTAAAAAATGGACAGTTCATACAAGCTTTTTAAAGCTTAACAGGACACAGGCTCAAGAGGATTATCCAGCAGCTGCTGGAGGCTTCAGAGGAGTATAGAAATTAACCTCAGCTAGTGACAGAAATGCACCAATCAGCTGCATGACAGCCTCACTATCATTCACTTCACCTCGCCCGCTGCAGGAATTAAGGTTAATTCCATGAAGTAATTTGTTTAATTTAATTTCATCCTCTCTCTGACTCTTTTTGCCTATTTATTCTGTCAGTCCTTCAGGGGCAAAAATGAGGGAAATGAATAATACAGTTCATAGAAATTGGATCAAGAACTTTAAAATCTTTACACAGACAAAAAATGAGTCTGTTAAGCCTGCACTGGAGCATTGACCTATTATACCCACAATGCTTTGAGTAAAAGTTAAATTCATGGTATATGAAAGGATGAAAGCCCTGTATTTATAAAGCATTTAGAGTCCTACAACCCCCCGAGGTGCTTTACAACTTAACAGTTATTCAACTATTCATACACTGTATGAATCTGATCACGACTTTGCAAATAACTTCCCAGATTTCCTTCAGGCTGCAGCCGAAGTTTTACATGAGAATAATAATAAAAGACCATTTTATAAGCTTCAGGTTTTTGAGATATGTGTGTATGTTTGAGACTCTTAATCTGAAGGACTGAAGGAAGTTATTTGGGTTCTGCTGTGGATGATGATGCAGAAGAAGCCAACGCCTGCACTCAGTGTTCAGGCACCAGTTCACCTCGAAATGTAAAAATGAGCTGTGGAGAATCATGTTTTTGGACTTCTCAAATGCCTTCAACATCATCCAGCCATGTCTACTGCAGCAGAAGATGGGGAGTACAGGAGTGGACAAACGTCTGACTGCATGGATCATCAACCACCTCAACAACAGGCCACAATAGGCCAGTGAGGCTGCATAACTGCACATCTGAGGTGGTTGTGTGAAGTAGGAGCTCCACAGGGCACGGTGCTCTCACCATTTCTATTCACCTTCTTCACCTCACACTTCACCTACAACACCAGCAGCTGTCACCTCCAGAATGCAATTGTCAGCTGTGTGTCTGAGGGGACCGATCTGGAGTACAGATCAGTCATCATGGACTTTGTGGACTGACGTGAGCATAACCACCTTTGCTAGAATACCAGTAAGACAAAGGAAATGGTGATTGGATTCCAGAAAAACTCTCCTCCTCACTCGCCAGTAAACAAACATCCAGTGTGCAGGCATTGAGGTGGTGGATACCTTTGAGTACCTGGGTGTTCACCTCAACAGTAAGCTGAACTGGCCCAACAATGCAGATGCTCTGTACAAGAAGGGCCAATGCCACCTCCACCTCCTGAGGAGGCCGAGATCCTTCGTAACTCACATCTGCTAAGCTCTTTTTACCATTCTGTTGTTGGCTCTGTTACCCACTCTGCTGTGATCTGTTGAGGTGCAGGCAGGTCTGACTGAGACATGAAGAGGCTGAACTAGTTCGGAAGCTAGCTCAGTTCTGGGCTGTCCACTGGATTCTGTTGAGGAAGTGTGTGAAAGGAGGATGTTGGTTAATCTGACCTCCACTGGAAACCCCTCTCACCCACTGCAATCCACTGTGGAGGCCATGGACAGCTCCTTTGGCAGTAGATTGAGACATCCAAGATGTAAAACAGAACACTACTGTATGTCATTCATTTCCACTGCAATAAGAGATAACTCCTCTGTTTAACTGGTACTGGAATTATACCTTTTCACACTAACATCAGTGCTATTCGCTAGGTGTGAAATACCCAGATTCACATTTGCAGTCTGTGTCTATGCTGTTTCTTCTTGGAAACTCAGTTTTCTTTTCTTTTTTCTTTTTTTATTGCTGAAGTGTACAATAATAGTCTACTGCCTTTGTGTATTTACCTGCATTTGTGTTCATATTCTCTATGTGCTGCCTTAATGAAGATATTTCACCAATGAGGGGGTTTCAGAAAATTCTATTCTATTCTATTCTATATGTTTCCTATTTTTGTAATTGAATCAGTAAAAAGACCTGATGAACCACTGGTTACAAGAACAATTATCATAGAGATAAAACAATAATGGACTTGGAGTGCAATGGAGCTGGATTTCTCAAGCTAGTCTTGAAAATGGCCTGCCTTTGACTATTTCCTTACCATTTTCTGTTTATTACGTTTGTGGCTCTGAAAAGTTTTTGAGTAATTAAACTAAAATCCTGAGGCGGAACAAAAGCAGCTCCCAGGTACATGACTTGCTAAAATCCTTTCAAAACAAGAATAAGAATGAATTATCTCTGTTGGTTTTGCTCTGCTGTCACTTGTCTAGAATTTAATGACAAATAATTATAATATAAACTATTGTTAAGAAATTACTTCTGCCTCACAAAAAAATGTTGCTGCCCCAGGGTAGTGTTCAAGTTGTATTTTAAATTTAAGTGTTTCCCAAAGTTGGGGTTGTTGATGATCTTTGCACCAAATGAAAAATAAACTTCTGACTCCTTATTTTGAGCATAAATGTTGCAAAAGTCAAAAAACATTAGTCATAGTTTAACACTACTTGAAGCTGTCTGGGTTTTCATTATTTACCGCTTTAACCTTTGCAAAGTCCATAGTCTACATTGTTGCCATTTTTAGCTGTTGTTAAATTTAGTGGGTCTGAAGCTGAAAAGTTTAGCATCTGCTGTTTTAAATCAGTGGGACAAATTCAGCACAGCTAAGCCCTTACATGCAGAGCTGATTGTTATTTCTAAAGTCAGGGCCGAGAACCAGAACCAGCATCCTACCTGTGCAGGATTACTGTCCAGACAGACTACTAAACCTCCCAAAGTCCTTAATCCTAATATATTGTCAGGATTTACATTGTGAATGTGGATCCATTTGTGTAGCGTGTACATCCTAAGGCTGTGGACTTTAGGCTTCACTCAGCTTTTGAGGAAAAAAAACACTACAGTACAAGTTAAACTAGTTGTACAAAAATATTCCCTTGATTATTTTTATAGAAATATAAAATGTTACTAAGTAAAGATGGGAAATGGGGGGAATATTGGATCAATTTCCATTGGTTTGATTTCTGAGTCTCAGTTAGGTGACTCATTCAAATGAATATAAATCAGGTAATCATGGCTATTAGTGATAATTACTGATAACATTTGATGAGATCAGACAAACAGGATTTTTAACACAACTTAAGTACCAAACAAAACTGTCACGAGTTGGTGTAGAAGGATGTTTAGGACCCAAGATGCAGATAACCAGATGAGCGAGGCAGGAGGTGGATGATGAAAATAAAATCCTTTATTTAGGAGTAGTCCAAGAGGCAGGGAGCCTAAACCAAAAATCCAAAATTCTAAACTGAGTAATGAAAAAAACCACTAGAGAACTAGAAACACTGGAAACACTGAAATCACTAGAAACTCTGGAAACACTAGAAGCTAGGAACAGGAACGAGACGAGACTGACAAGAACAATGGACCAACCATACACTGAGACACAGACAGGGATATATACACTGGGGAGGATGAGAGGGAGATGAACTACAGGTGTGTGGGGAGAGAGAGACCAGGTTAACTCAATTACTAATCAGGAAGGAAACTAACATGACCTAAGAATAAAACCTAAAGACAAGAAGAACAGGAACATAACTAATAATCTAAGGGGGGGAGAAAAACCTCAACACTGATGGGAAAAACACACTAGAGGGACTGATAACATGAACAGCTGTAGCTAAAGGAAAATGACCTAAGAGAAAAACCTAAAGACCAGAAGGGCAGCAACCATAACTAATATTCTAAGGGGGGAGCTGAAACTAAAGGAAAAACACTACAGAAAGAAAAAAACTACAGGGGCGTGACTAAAGGGGGGCCACGGGAGCACAGGACCTGGGAGGGGGATACCTGAGGAGGGAAACCTAGAGGCTGAAGATCTGGAGAAAAATGGAGAACACCAGGAGACACATGAGGAAGACGCAGACAAGGACACATGAGGGCGCTAGGAGACTCAAAAGGAGAACCTAGAGAGGGATGGGGAACACAAGGAGACACATGAGGGGAGATGCAGACGCAGACCATAACAAAAACAAAAATAATTAAAAAGATATCTCTGGATAAAAAGATAAAGAATTAGAAGTGTGTATTTTCTTACCATACTCCCTCTTTCTCCTGCATGAGGGCTGCATTCCATTTGGAAGAATTTCTGCTTTTATGAGCATTTTGTAAAGAAAATATAGCAGGAGGGGAATGCTGTCCTCATTGAGATCTGAATCACTGACTGATTAAAAGATTGTGACAGTTTTTTTGCTTCTTGCTGGACACAAACCCATATTGAGACTGAAGTGCTACATTTTATATGTGTGCCTGTAAATAATGAGGACTTTATGTAAATAACTATATAATGTAAAATCAACCTAAAATCACATCATCACAAACTGCCGAGACATCTTGGAGAGTGTTGTTTCATGACAGCAGAACTCTTCTTACAGCTCATCATTCTAAAGGTATAAAAGCTATTTGTCCTAAATGAGGCTGTTCATGAAGCTATATTGAGTGGGTGAAACTAAATAATTTTAACAATAATAGAACACTACATGGTTCAACCCTACTGTGAATTTATTAGTGTCCAGTAAAATGTCTGCTCAGTGCTCACACAAAAATATTGAACGTTTCCAGCTCATGGATCGGTCACAGTAGGATGATGTACTCAATTTGATACAAAGTGAGTTCATCTCCTGGTCTAGACAAGAGTACATGCTTCATCCAGGGGTTTTCACATTTGTTGACTGGCGATTGTGTGTTCCAGGTGACGGAATCCCCAAAGAAAGCTGCCCTTTTATCAACAGTGCAGCCACTGATGTGGAAAAGAGTCAGCAATATGACAGCAAGAGCATGGCTCTGTTTGAGGTAACAATGATCCTCAATGATGAACTTGCATGAACAGAGTTGGTGGTATAAGATCAGAATTGGTGTGAATGTGAATGCATAGGTTTGATTAATTTATCCCCATCTGTTTGTGCTGCAGGAAGAGATGGATACCAGCCCAATGGTTTCCTCTCTACTCAGCACTCTGGCCAACTACTCCAACCTACCGACTGGCAGCAAAGAGCACGAAGAGGCTGAAAATAATGAGGAAGGGGCACGCCCATCTAAAAAGCCTGTCAAGGTAGAGCTCTGCATTGGAAGTGAACAGCTGAATGACATCACACATTCACAAAACGTCAGACACAAATCTGTAGATGTGTTTATTTTACTGTAAAACAAACCTTTTTGTGCCTGATGCTCTGAGAAGAGAATGCTTTTAAATCATTGCAAATTAAACCCAGTGGTGCAAACATCTTTTGCAAGCTTGCAGATCATTGGCTTTTCCTGTTTTTCACCGTAGAAGTTTTGTGTTTTCAGGCACCTCAGTTGGGTACTCTGATGGGAGTCTACTTGCCATGCATCCAGAATATTTTTGGGGTGATCCTCTTCCTGCGGATGACGTGGATGGTCGGGATTGGCGGCGTCTTTGGCTCTTTTATAATCGTCTTCATGTGCTGCTCGACGGTATGCTAAACTGAAAATGTTACTGCTTTGTTATACTGGATTACTTCTCTTTTGTTGTTCATTTAAAATGAACTTTCCATGAAATTCAGCTGTGAACTCTGATTCAGGATGCAGATGTACACTTTCAAAATTAACCAGCACCTCATTTTAGTCAATGAAGAATGTACAGTTGTATAAATCCCAAAATAACTAAAGTATATCTGACAAACAAAGTGAGACCAGCATTCCCCTCCAACACAAACAAAACCCAAAGCCAGTCTCACTTGATGGTGGATGCTTTTCTTGACTTGTGTGTTTTAGATTTACTTGCTTTCAGCCTTTTTAGATTTGTCTCTCCAAACTGCCGCTGCTCAGTAATTCCCCTCTGTTGTCTGCTGCTGCTTCCAGACCATGCTCACAGCCATCTCCATGAGCGCCATTGCAACAAATGGAGTCGTTCCAGGTTAGAGGACAACTGAGGGCTTGTGTTATTGTGTTTGTGTGTGACAGATCAGTGGGCTGAATGCTGTGTGTGTTTGTGATTAATAGCTGGAGGTTCGTATTACATGATCTCTCGCTCTCTGGGGCCTGAGTTTGGTGGAGCGGTGGGCATCTGCTTTTACCTGGGAACCACTTTTGCTGGAGCCATGTACATTCTTGGCTGTATTGAAATTCTCCTGGTGAGTGGGTTTGAACATTTGGTAACACTTTCATGCATGTTCGTTCATTCGTCCGTCCATTTGTTTGTTTGTTTTGTTTATCATTTGGTCTGGTTTGGTCAGTTTCTGAAATTATTGGACCCAATCAGTCTAGTACCAACAACCATTTTCCCCTGTTAAGATAACCAGTTTGGAATTCAGCAAGTCATCTTCACCACATCTAGAAAACTAAATGCTGCCACTTTAAATATGATTTTTGTCTGAACAAGCAGGCTCATTTAATAAAGCAGCCAGTGAGTTTAAATATTTTTTCCTTCAAATGTCACTACAATTTGCTTTATCACTTCCGCATTACCTTCTCCATCTTCTTTTTTAGATTTACATCATTCCACAAGCGGCCATTTTCAAGATCGAAGGCCTGGAGGGACCAGAGGCAGAGATCGCACTGCTCAACAACATGCGAGTTTACGGCACCATCGTGCTGAGCTTCATGGCCCTGGTTGTGTTTGTGGGAGTCAAATATGTCAACAAGTTAGCGCTGGTCTTCCTGGCCTGCGTCATCCTCTCCATCCTGGCTGTTTATGCCGGAATCATCAAAACAGCCATTGAGCCCCCCGTCTTCCCGTACACAACTCTTTCAATCCAGCTTTACGTTTTTTCAGCCGGTCAGCTGAGGCTGTGTGATAATGAGGATTTTTGTTGGTTTTCATTGCAGCGTCTGTATTCTTGGGAATCGAACACTCCTTTCTAAATCATACGATGTCTGTGCAAAAATTGTTGAACTGGACAATGAGACTGTCACTACCAAACTCTGGAGGTCATTTTGTGATTCTGAATCCCTAAACGCCACGTGTGACGAATATTTCAACAACAACGATGTAACAGAGATACAGGGCATCCCAGGAGTTACTAGTGGGATCCTGGCAGGTTGGTTTACTGTTTAAATGTTATTTTCATGCCTGATTTAGTGCAGGTTTTATTTATTGGTGATCTTTTCTGTCTTCCCTAGAAAATCTGTTTTGTAACTATTTGGAAAAAGGGATGTTCCTAGAGAAGCGAGGTCTTGCATCCAATGTAGATCCTGACAGTCCCGTCTCCAACACCAACCGCTATGTCCTGGCTGACATCACCAGCTTCTTCACCCTGCTGGTGGGGATATACTTCCCATCCGTCACAGGTGAGCATTAAGAAGGTAGCTAAAGACTCCCTGGTAACAACTAAAGAAATAGTCCAGATGTTTTGAAACTGGATTCTTTGGAACGTTTATAAATTATTAATTTGTTGTAGATGGTTCGTTGAACAATCTCCTTTTGAAGCAATAGAGTTCAGCTGATCAAAACAAAAAAAAACTAACAGCTGATCTGAGTGAGTTCAAGAATCAAAGGGATTAAACAAATGCTATTTTTTGTTTTGCATTACATGGTTTTTAAAAGTAATTTCATATTCCTGCTGAAAGTGCCACATGGTGCATGAAAAGTTTTAGCATTTGTGTAAATAAAGTGTGGCATACAACAACAATGCAAAAGTAAATAAAATTGTTTATGAGTGAAATTCTATTAAACATTAAGGGTTGAGGATTTTTAAGACAGCAGAAATCATTTTTATAATTGGCCCCTCAATGATCCGATAGCTGTTCTCCAAACTGAGGTTGTTCAAAGGTCTATGATGGATATGGCAATGACTGTTTCTAATATTTCCACTGAAACTCGCTTCTAAATATCTAAAATATCCCTTTAAAGTGTTTATTGGTAATCATTTAACAAAAATTGTCTCTAAATTATGATGAAATATAAGAAATGTTATGTGCACTTTGTGTAGTAATTTTTGTCTGATAAATAAAGTTATGATAGGTTATCTCAGTTATGTAATGAAAATGTTCCTATTTGGGATGCTGTATGGGTTAATTTAACTACAGATTATTTACTGACTACATGAATGCACAGTTGGTAGCAGTACTGCCTTGCAGCAAAAGGTTTGCAGGTTCAAAACCCAGATGTTGCCTGTCTGCTTGACGTTTGTTCTGAAGGCCACAATTGGCCCCCAGACCACACTTTGAACACATTTGTTCTACAGTGTACAATAAACCCTCCATTCATTTGCTAGATGCTGCATCTGCTGCAGTAAATCTTTACTAAAGACTTCTCAGTGGAGTGCTTTTAAATTCTTCTCCACATATGATACTGACAGGTATCATGGCCGGATCCAACCGTTCCGGTGACCTGCGTGATGCTCAGAAGTCGATTCCGATTGGGACCATTGCAGCCATCACCACTACATCTACTGTGTGTATCCTTCTGTGTCTCTCAGCAAATTAAAGAAAAACAGGGCAAAGTCAACCATCCACTCATTATCTTGGCACCAGATGTTCTCAGGCATGTGTCCTAACGGTTTTTTGTAGACATGTCGTGTGTGGTGCTGTTTGGTGCTTGTATAGAAGGAGTGGTACTACGAGACAAGTAAGTCTGATTGTACAAGTTTCTGTTCATATTTAGGATATTTTTCCCCTGGACTACTTTGCTGAATTCTATAGCACATCTTAGCGTGTAGTGAATGACTTCTTGAAGTCAAAGTTAGTGTTTGTTTCATATTTCTAATCAAGTTCAGCTCAGATAGCGTTAAAAATCAGTCACTGTGATTTAGAAGACCAAGCAGTCAGATGTATTTTTATTTTTACTTTTTTAATCTAATTTAGGCATATTTTCCTGAGAAATTTTAGTTAGAGTTCAGTGTGTCACATCCTCGCATTATGACCTTTTCCTTCAGGTTTGGTGAAGGGGTTAATGGTAACCTGGTGATTGGTACTTTGGCATGGCCGTCTCCGTGGGTGATCGTGTTTGGTTCCTTCTTCTCCACCTGCGGCGCAGGACTTCAGAGTCTGACAGGAGCTCCACGTCTGCTCCAAGCCATTGCAAGAGATGGGATCATCCCTTTTCTCAGAGTGTGTGCTCAAACTTATTGCTTATCTTTGACTTCAGGAAACAGGAGAAGACACTGGTCAGAGTGCAGCTAGTCCAGCTCCCTGAACAAAAAGGCACCAGCCATAACACCCCCTCCCTTAAAAGATAAAAAACAATTAAAACAAGTTCTATCACACTTTTTTTTTTCTTTCAAACCTCCACGCTCTTTTACCAAGTTTGTCATGATTTTTTTCTCTGAATCCTTTAATTATACAAGAGTTCCCGCTAGCTATTTACAGGAGATCTAACTAAGCTCCAACATAGTCTTCATGTGGATTATTTAAGGCGGGCAGTTTAAACATGACAAAAGTGGAGTTGAGAGGTTGCCCTTGGCTGAAGCACACCCCCCAGCACCCCGGAGTGTTCTCGAGATGGCCTCTGGGTGGACGGCCAACACAAACCCCATCACCACAACACTAAAAACACAACTAACAAAGCCTGCAAGGGAATTCATTTCACAAAGTTCACCAAATCTAAAACTACACAGAAAAATAAAAGGGCACACTCACAAGGAAGAAGACACAGCTTAACACCCAGGTACACTTTAAAATCCTACAGATAAAAACAGTTTGAAAATCATGTGCCATTAAAAGTCCTTCACGAGATGGATTATCCCAGATGAGCCCCCACATTAATAGTAATGTGCTGCAGAAACAAATCAAATCTATCTCTATAAGCCCTGTTTGTTTGGTACTTTTGTGTTGCTGCAGGTTTTTGGACATGGCAAAGCCAACGGGGAGCCCACCTGGGCTCTCCTCCTTACAGCCAGCATCTGTGAGATCGGCATCATCATTGCCTCCCTGGATTCAGTCGCTCCCATCCTCTCCATGTAAGAACAGCCAAGTGAAGACGCTGCAGCCAACATCCAGACAACTGTATTAGTTCTCTTCCTTGATGTTCTTCATTTAGGTTTTTCTTGATGTGCTACATGTTCGTCAATCTGGCCTGTGCCCTGCAGACTCTGCTGAGGACACCAAACTGGAGGCCGCGCTTTAAGTTCTATCACTGGTAATTTTGGAAGCTAGTTTTCAAGATGCAACATGCAGGCAGTCAGGACTCCTTAATCTCTATAGCAACCTGAATCTCATTTGTCCTCACAGATTATGCTCATTTGTATTTGTTCTGTGGTGTGATGCTGATTAAGTCCAGTTAGACCAAACTGATGTCCTCTCATCTGCAGGGCTCTGTCTTTCCTGGGTATGAGCCTGTGTCTGTCCCTCATGTTCATCTGTTCCTGGTATTACGCAATAGTCGCTATGGGCATCGCCACCTGCATCTACAAATACATAGAGTTCTGTGGGTAGGTGATGTCATTATACACAAATTCTTAAAGACGCATTGTGGGATCAATTTTAGTCTGATGTGAGACAGAGCTGAGAAAGAATGGGGTGATGGTATACGAGGGATTTCGTTGAGCGCTGCCCGATTCGCCCTGATGAGGCTGGAGGAGGGACCTCCACACACAAAGAACTGGAGGTAGATTCTATCTGTGTTTGGATGTATTAAAATAACTGTTTTGATTTTGCTTGTAGAGTCTCCACTGCCTTGTTCTTGTACTTCAGTAAACAGTTTTATTCATAAGGCCTCAGATTCTGGTTCTGGTGAGCGTGGATGCTGAGCAGAACGTAGAGCAGCCCCGTCTGCTCTCTCTGACCAGTCAGCTGAAGGCAGGAAGAGGTCTCACCATCGTTGGTACCTCTGTTCAAGGAACCTTCCTCAACAATTACACTGAAACCCAGAAGGCAGATCAGGTATGTAACTGCTCTAATGGACACACATCATCTCATATGGCGCCATCACATAGAATCAGGTTTAAATTATAATTCCCACTGATCTTTTTTGTGTTTCAAGTCTTTGCGTAAGCTGATGGAAACAGAAAAGGTGAAGGGCTTTTCTCAGGTAGTCATCTCCTCCAACCTGAGAGATGGGACGTCCCATTTGGTCCAGAGTGGAGGACTTGGAGGTCTGAAGCACAACACTGTGATGGTCAGTTGGCCTCACAACTGGAAACAGCCAGAGTTCCACCAGCAGTTTAGAAACTTCATTGGTAAGAAAGATGATTTGTCGTGATTATTAAACCAAACGGAACCAAGTTAGGATAAGTTCTAAAGCTGAACTGACCTGTGACAAAACACTTATGTTCATGTCTGTGCTGCTATCTGTGATGTAGCTGCACAATGTGATTTCTGACATTTGATTAGTCTAATTCAGCTTCTTGGCACTGCTAATGATTTTTTTAGTAGTTTCTTGTCATTATGTCTTATTTTCCTCTCCTTTTCAGAGGTTGTTAGAGAGACCACTATAGCCAGTTTGGCTTTACTGGTCCCTAAAAATATCTCCAGTTACCCATCCAACGGAGAGCGCTTCACAGAGGGCTACATAGATGTGTGGTGGATTGTTCATGACGGAGGCATGCTGATGCTCCTACCCTTCCTACTGCGCCAGCACAAGGTGGGGAACTAGAATGTGTGTATTCTGTAGAGAAAAGCAATCAGTACAGATCAGGGTGTGATGGTGAAATACAGCTCTTCAAGGCAGTCTACAAAGTTTCGTCCAAGTGTAAATTATTGTTTTATGTCAAAGGTCTGGAGGAAGTGCAAGATGCGCATTTTCACCGTAGCACAAATGGATGACAACAGCATCCAGATGAAGAAAGACCTTCTCATATTCCTCTATCACCTGCGCATCGATGCTGCTGTGGAGGTGGTGGAGATGGTAGGACATCTGTCTGGATTGATGCTGTGAAAACCCGACCTACCCCCTGCCTTCGGATTGGTGGTCTAATGCCTGATTTATATTTCTCCTTCTGCGTCGGGACAGACGCATGCAAAGTCATAATACATCTTTGCGAGCCTGCTGGAGAGCTCTTGCAAGGACGGACGGAGTTGAGCTCTCTTTTCTAAACATGCGTCCATTGAAACTGAGAGCGCAAGCTTGTGATTGGTCAGGAAGCCGCCATTGCACCCTCAAAAACATAAATAGAGGCAAGGATATCTAGCGGTAGACATGGAGAAGCTTGTAGAATACTTAGTGGAAAAACTCTAAAATATCATCGTTTTATTTCACCGTGATTGGAGGAGTGAAAAGATATGCAGCAAGCGTTTTATTCATAGGTTGAAATGACGGAAAATGTGGGTTTAGAGGTGGCGAGCGCATAAAGAGGTGGAGGAAAATAAGGGACTAGTTTGTCTGTGTGGAAAAAGTCTCTTAAATACAGAAAAACACAATATAAACATATTATCTTGGACCGGATACATGACAGAACAGCGCTATATCCTCTGTTGTCCCGGCAGGGAATTGCTTTGCAACACTCTCCAGGAGTCGGAGAAGTATGAGGGCAAATTGTCTCTGTCTGTGCGTGCATGTCTCTCCCTCGTGGAGCTGACGGAGAGTATAAATTAGGCTTTAGCCTGGCGAGATCTACAACTGAAGGAGTCAATGTGCTCTTCGCTCCCTCGATCTCCCTCTCACAGAGTGCATGCCCAAATGGCTGCTGCTCTCTCTGGGGGAAAACAGGGCCTCAGCACCCCCCCCCCCCCCCCCCCCCCCACACACACACACACACACACCACCACCACCACCCCGCCTACCCACTGGAGTCTCGTGTTGTGAATTGTCTGATTTAAGAAATGACGTCTATGTCACAAACTAAAGTACTTCTTCTTAAAGCTTGACAATGACATCTCAGCCTACACCTATGAGAAGACGCTGATAATGGAACAGCGATCGCAGATCCTCAAACAGATGCATCTGACCAAGAATGAGATGGAGAGAGAGGTTAGAAGAAAAACTCAATGTTTTTTATTATTATCATGGTAATGTTTAAGCAGAAAGTGTTTTATGTCTGGACTCCAAGAAGACTGGCCAAGAAGAGCATGTCTGAAGAGATTTGCATATACAATAGAAATATTTATTTACAATATTTCACCATTGTTGGTCATTTCTACTCAAAATTGACAAACATAAAAATATTGGAAATAGAAAAAATGCTGGAAGTGCTGCAGGGGTGTGAGAAATCTTATCTGGTGCTCTCACTGGTGCTCTTCAGCCAAGGGATCCACATAAATGTTGGCAAAAGGAGATCTGAGGCACTCAGGAGGTACAAAAATAAAAAGCCTTTATTAGTACATGGCTTAAATTGTTAAAAACATCAATGCCAACGAGTTTCAGCCCACAGGGCCTTCGTCAGGGCTCAAAATGTTTGTATACTCACTCACCCCCATGTTAAAAAGGCCAATCAATGACACCTGCCAAAGCTGGGCAGGTAGACTGCATTCTGATTGGATGGCCAGTACAACACAAAAACTTTTTACATCTAAACAATCCTATTGTAAGGATGAATACTTACAAATATGAAATTTCACTTCTAGAATTTGAGAAAAAATTATAAATATGGTACACAAATTGTAAGAAAACATGAGATTATAAATAAGGAGCTAAATCTAATTCTCCATTAAGACCTGGGAAATTAGTAGCTTTTAGTGTGTAAATCCAAAATGATTCTCTTTGCAAGAGTTTTTTAAGCCTATCTCCTCCTCTAATTGAATTTTTTATATGTTCAATCCCTGTGATTTTAAGAGAGTTACAGCTTCCATGATTTGTGTCTTTATAATGCACTGCCATAGGATATAGAGGATTACCAGATCTGATTGCTTGTTTGTGCTCTGCAAGTCTTGCTTTTAACTTGCGTTTAGTTCTTCCAATATAGAAGCAACCACACGGGCATTCTAGTCTGTAGACCACGAACGAAGTATTACAGTTGATGAATGTATTAATGTAAAAAGTACGTCCTGTGAAAACATCAGCAAAACAGTTAGTGTTAGTCATGTTGTCACAGTGAACACAATTTCCACATTTATAGTTGCCTTTTCGAGTTGATAACCAGGTTTTTTGTTGCTGTGGAGGAAGGTGACTTTGAACAAGTTGATCATTTAATGTTGGGGCTCGTCTGAAGCTGATAGTAGGAGTATCTGGGAGAGCTTCCCTAAGAACACTGTCACTTTTCAGTATGTCCCAGTTTTTTGTAATTATTTTTTTGATCTTGTGGGCTTGATCACTGAATTGGGTCACAAAATAAACACCATCTGATCTTTGTTGGTTCTTCTCTTTAGGTACCAATAGCTGTTCTCTTGGCAGGCTTTTAGTCTTATTATACGCTTTGAGTATCGTTCTTTGCTGGTATCCTCTTGTTGTAAAGCTCTGGCCCATAACTGTAGCATTTCTTTCAAATTCTTCTTCTGTGTCACAAATACGTCTAAGTCTTTGAAACTGACCAGTGGGAATGTTGTTTATTAACCATGATGGATGGAAACTGTCTGCTCTGAGGATTGTATTACGGTCAGTAGGTTTTCTAAAAATAGAAGTGTGTAAATCTCCATTATCAGATTTTGAGATTTTTATATCTAGGAAATTAATTTCTGATGAGGAGAAGTCTAGGCTGAGTTTCAAACTTTTGTTAGTTTTGTTAAGATATGAATGGAATTGAAGTAGTTCTGATTCTGAACCAGACCACAGCAGAATAATGTCGTCAATGTATCTTCCCCACCACATCATCTTATCAGCATAGACATTACGATCAGAGTATACATATGTTTCTTCCCAAAGTCCCATAAAAAGATTAGAGTAATTGGGTGCAAAGCATGCTCCCATTGCTGTGCCTTTTTTCTGTCTAAAAAATTGGTTCTGAAACAGAAACACATTGTTACATAGAGTCCACTTCGCCAGCTGAAGGATGAAAGAAGAAGGAGGCATATCTTCTGAATGTCTTTGGTCCAGGTAATAGGTTAGTGCTTCTAGTCCTTCTGTGTGGTCAATGTTAGTGTATAGCGCCTCCACATCCATAGTAACAAGAAGTCCAGGTCCTATGTTCCTTATATCATTCAGTTTGTTCAGTACTTGAGTAGTGTCTTGAACAAAAGAAGGCAGTTCAGAAACAAATGGTTTAATGAAAAAATCTACAAACTGTGAGGCTGGTTCTGTGATTGATTCATTGCCACTAATTATTGGTCTGTCTGGTGGATTCTCCAAGTTCTTATGGATTTTAGGGAGCATGTAGAAGGAAGGAATTCTTGGGTGCTCATTCAGTAGAAAGTCATGTTGTTTTTGTGAGATCCATTGTTCATTTTTAGCGTGTAAAAGCATCTCCTTAAGTTCAGTCTTTATTTGCTCTGTTGGATTCATTTGAATGTGTTCATAGTATTCACTGTTATCCAACTGTCTCTTAGCTTCTGTGACATATTGGTCTCTGCCCCACACAACTACCGCTCCTCCTTTATCAGCTCTCTTGATGATGATGTCTTCATTAGCTGATAACCTCTTAATTGCATCTCTTTCTTTGTTTGTGAGATTATGCTTCGTTTTATTTTTAGATGCAAAGAGTTGATCAACTTCTTGTGTAACTTTTTTGTAGAAGACATTCAGAGTCTGATTACATATGTTGGGTATAAAGGTAACATATGTAATCAGACTCTGAATGTCTTCTACAAAAAAGTTACACAAGAAGTTGATCAACTCTTTGCATCTAAAAATAAAACGAAGCATAATCTCACAAACAAAGAAAGAGATGCAATTAAGAGGTTATCAGCTAATGAAGACATCATCATCAAGAGAGCTGATAAAGGAGGAGCGGTAGTTGTGTGGGGCAGAGACCAATATGTCACAGAAGCTAAGAGACAGTTGGATAACAGTGAATACTATGAACACATTCAAATGAATCCAACAGAGCAAATAAAGACTGAACTTAAGGAGATGCTTTTACACGCTAAAAATGAACAATGGATCTCACAAAAACAACATGACTTTCTACTGAATGAGCACCCAAGAATTCCTTCCTTCTACATGCTCCCTAAAATCCATAAGAACTTGGAGAATCCACCAGACAGACCAATAATTAGTGGCAATGAATCAATCACAGAACCAGCCTCACAGTTTGTAGATTTTTTCATTAAACCATTTGTTTCTGAACTGCCTTCTTTTGTTCAAGACACTACTCAAGTACTGAACAAACTGAATGATATAAGGAACATAGGACCTGGACTTCTTGTTACTATGGATGTGGAGGCGCTATACACTAACATTGACCACACAGAAGGACTAGAAGCACTAACCTATTACCTGGACCAAAGACATTCAGAAGATATGCCTCCTTCTTCTTTCATCCTTCAGCTGGCGAAGTGGACTCTATGTAACAATGTGTTTCTGTTTCAGAACCAATTTTTTAGACAGAAAAAAGGCACAGCAATGGGAGCATGCTTTGCACCCAATTACTCTAATCTTTTTATGGGACTTTGGGAAGAAACATATGTATACTCTGATCGTAATGTCTATGCTGATAAGATGATGTGGTGGGGAAGATACATTGACGACATTATTCTGCTGTGGTCTGGTTCAGAATCAGAACTACTTCAATTCCATTCATATCTTAACAAAACTAACAAAAGTTTGAAACTCAGCCTAGACTTCTCCTCATCAGAAATTAATTTCCTAGATATAAAAATCTCAAAATCTGATAATGGAGATTTACACACTTCTATTTTTAGAAAACCTACTGACCGTAATACAATCCTCAGAGCAGACAGTTTCCATCCATCATGGTTAATAAACAACATTCCCACTGGTCAGTTTCAAAGACTTAGACGTATTTGTGACACAGAAGAAGAATTTGAAAGAAATGCTACAGTTATGGGCCAGAGCTTTACAACAAGAGGATACCAGCAAAGAACGATACTCAAAGCGTATAATAAGACTAAAAGCCTGCCAAGAGAACAGCTATTGGTACCTAAAGAGAAGAACCAACAAAGATCAGATGGTGTTTATTTTGTGACCCAATTCAGTGATCAAGCCCACAAGATCAAAAAAATAATTACAAAAAACTGGGACATACTGAAAAGTGACAGTGTTCTTAGGGAAGCTCTCCCAGATACTCCTACTATCAGCTTCAGACGAGCCCCAACATTAAATGATCAACTTGTTCAAAGTCACCTTCCTCCACAGCAACAAAAAACCTGGTTATCAACTCGAAAAGGCAACTATAAATGTGGAAATTGTGTTCACTGTGACAACATGACTAACACTAACTGTTTTGCTGATGTTTTCACAGGACGTACTTTTTACATTAATACATTCATCAACTGTAATACTTCGTTCGTGGTCTACAGACTAGAATGCCCGTGTGGTTGCTTCTATATTGGAAGAACTAAACGCAAGTTAAAAGCAAGACTTGCAGAGCACAAACAAGCAATCAGATCTGGTAATCCTCTATATCCTATGGCAGTGCATTATAAAGACACAAATCATGGAAGCTGTAACTCTCTTAAAATCACAGGGATTGAACATATAAAAATTCAATTAGAGGAGGAGATAGGCTTAAAAAACTCTTGCAAAGAGAATCATTTTGGATTTACACACTAAAAGCTACTAATTTCCCAGGTCTTAATGGAGAATTAGATTTAGCTCCTTATTTATAATCTCATGTTTTCTTACAATTTGTGTACCATATTTATAATTTTTTCTCAAATTCTAGAAGTGAAATTTCATATTTGTAAGTATTCATCCTTACAATAGGATTGTTTAGATGTAAAAAGTTTTTGTGTTGTACTGGCCATCCAATCAGAATGCAGTCTACCTGCCCAGCTTTGGCAGGTGTCATTGATTGGCCTTTTTAACATGGGGGTGAGTGAGTATACAAACATTTTGAGCCCTGACGAAGGCCCTGTGGGCTGAAACGCGTTGGCATTGATGTTTTTAACAATTTAAGCCATGTACTAATAAAGGCTTTTTATTTTTGTACCTCCTGAGTGCCTCAGATCTCCTTTTGCCAACATAAAAATATTGGTTATTAGTTCAGGACAAATAAATACCCAACTACATCTAATTAACACACAAATAAATGTTTTTTAAAGTTTTACATTTTTGTTTTAAACAAGAAAAACAATGCATTTGGATTTTATAATAATTGCATTTGCTCCAATAAAATAAAATTAAATTAAATTAAATTAACCAGTATTAGAATAGAAAGAGTTTTTAATAACTAATTTTTGTCTAAATACATTTTATTTAATTACTTGTAATCTGTTATTTGATTTGATTGATGGCTACATTCCCTCTATAATGGATTTATCTTCATTAATTAAGTCTAATGGTTGTCCTTTAGTGTGTGGCATTTCAGTATACATAATTTTTTCACACCCTCTACTAAAAAAAGTCTGTACACCTACTTCTATAAAATCCTTCAAAAATAAAACATGACATTTTAGAGTCTACTATGGCTTTTGTGTTAGTGTTTACAACATAGTTTATGTGTTTAGATTTCATAGTTGATGTATTAACTACTCCAATGAATAAAATAAAACCAAATGCAATTAAACTAGCCAGTATAAACACACACAGAGAGAGAGAGAGAGAGAGAGAGAGAGAGAGAGAGAGAGAGAGAGAGAGAGAGATTGATAAAAGGTTTTCAAGGGTTTCACATTTTAATGTATTAAATACTTTGATAAATTATCTAAATAAACTTAATTGAATTGCTTGTTATCTGTCATTTGTACCTTGATGATTCATCTGTTGCACTGAATAATTGCAAGACTGGATGGTGGGCGACCTCCTTGTAAATCATACAGTGCTGGCATTCATCAACAACTCAGGGTCTGTGTATGATAACAAGCGGGACATCATGTTAAAACTACATAAAGATTGTTTTCATCATTGCTGCAGCTAAAAAGGACCAGAAGCTGAACTTTCCATATTTTTATTTAACAAATCAAGTTGTGCTGAGGAAAGTAAAATATTTGCAGCACATTCTAAGAAGAGATCGGTGTGATGATGAGAATACCCCTGCAAACAGTCAACGTTACATGGACATGCAGACCATGTCTATATTGAGTCTGTCGGTCCAGACCATGTCTGTAGGACGTCCAAGCTAGGTCTTTGCACAGTGAGTAAGTGCTGTAAGCCGCACATGCAGGCTAACATTCTGGCATGTGCTCCGACCACGTTAAAGTGGCCCTTTTCGTTTCCTTCTCTATTCCCTTCTATAAGGCCCACTTGTGGTGTTATAGTTAGTAAGGCTGTAATAAAGGAACTAAAAGTGGTTTATCAGGACATTCCTGAGGCTCCCACGATGGACTTCTGCAAGTCAGATGTTTGTGACGAGTAGCGTCCCTACCTTTCATGCACTACTGAGGCACTACATGTATAAATTCATGTGTTGTTTTAGTTTTTCAACTGATTGTAGTCTGTCCAACTTTAACCTACAGTGAAAAACGTACAGATGATGGAAGCTCGTCACGGGCATGAAACTCCCAGGCTTTGTCCTGTCTGGGGTTTTTGATCTGACATAAAACTAAAACCTCCAGAGAGAAATTAGAAATAGATTCATGCTTTTTGTTTCTGCAGATCCAAAGTATAACAGATTCATCCCGTGGATCCATCCGGCGTAAAAACAAACCCACTTTGCAACCCCAGCACAGCAAAGAAGAGGGGAGCAGCCCAGCAGATAAACCAGATGACAAGGTAAATCTGCTGTGAACTCTTTGTAGACAAGAAAGTATTTTGTCCTCCCCTGCTCTGTCATAGATGAAACAGAACTGTTTGACCCTCTGCTGGTGGTTACATAGTGATTTCTCTCATGTAGACATTCCCTTTTACTGACAGGTGTCTCTTCTCACTCTTTCACCCCATCACACATCATGCTGCATGTTTTGTCTCTCAGTCTGAGGCTGTCTCCCACCCAAAACAGGCACAGCTGATCTACAGTAAGAAGACCACCACTCCATCAAGCCACACCCCTGCAGCAACCTGGACAGAGAAAAAAGATGCAGGAAAAGGGAGGACCCAATCAGCATCGACACCAGAGGCAGGAAGAGACTTTCTCAATATGAAGCCGTAAGTCACATCTAAATGCACCAAACAACACCAAATCCAATACACGGCTCTTGTGCAGAAATCTTTCTCTTTAGAGTGCCCATGCTTTAAAAATGTGTTGACTGTAAATAAAAATCTCAGAATTAAATCTAAAAATATTTGAATGCATTTTTACGATAAACACTCAATAAATTTGTTTTGATAACTAAGATTGGATCTTTTGCACTAATTGAATCTTATTTAATAAATGTGACGTTACTGAAAGCAAAAACAAAGAACGATGCTTCTTTGTGTGTGATAAGACCCTGAATGTATCCACATGCTGTTTTCTTTCATCATGCTGCAGAGAATGGGAGAACTTGTAAGTAAAGCTGCACAGATTTAAAAGCTGGACTAAAGCTGATTAATGAGGAAAACTGCTATATTATTATTATTTTCCTAATCATCCAGGAACCAAATCGATGTGAGACGGATGCACACTGCTATGCGACTCAATGAGGTGATCACAAAGAAGTCCAAAGAGGCTAAACTTGTCCTGCTCAACATGCCTGGACCACCAAAGAACAGGGTGGGAGATGAAAACTGTATCCTTCACTGCTCTGGCCGGAGAATGGAGAGAAATGAAAATTAGGATGTTTAATTGTTTCAGGCAGAATTTATTGTGAAATTAAGAGGTGCAAAAGATAAAATGTGTTTTGATATCATGACTCCCCAGGGTGTTTAGTTACTGGGGCAAAATCCACTTTTAGGAGCTTTTTACCATGTGAAATTATTTCCTTATTTAAAAAAATAAAGCAATTCTTGCATTTTCCTGTTTCAGCTGCACATTGTGAGTTTTATTTTGAAAATCCTGTAAAATGTCAATGGAAAATAGTCATCAGGCCCTGCTCCTCTCCAGGAAGCGTCTCTGGTCTGAAACCTGTCTCCCCTGGCCAGCAGAGGATATGTGGCTTAGGCGACTGCTGTCATGCAGCAGACTTGGTCGTCTAGTGCTTAGAGTGCTCAGACAGATGCCTTAACCACTGGACTACCATAGCCAATATGTCATATGACGTGCAAGATGCTGTTACGTTTTGTCATTGCAGGCATGGGCGGAGTTTCACTGAAACTAAGCGTTTTCAATTCAATTCAATTCAAAGATACTTTATTAATCCCAGAGGGAAATTAGAGTTTCAGTACACTATTCAGAGATCAGACATACATGGGCAAGACACATGACAAGAATTGGTGACTGTGGTCATTCGCAACCCTGAGTTGCGCTACCTTAATAGAAATAAGAGGGTAACATGAGGAATTGATTCGGGAGGAGGGAAAAAAAGGCACTTCATAGCTACTCTCCCAACAGGAGGGCAGCTTTGCTCTGCAAAAAAAAAAAAAACCTCAGACAGATAAGCAACAGACTTCAGACGACACAACATAGATACTCCGATAGGAAGGCGGGGGGGGGGGGGGGGGGGGGGCTGGGATCCTCTTTCCCCAGCGAGAGCAGCCATGTACGGCGCTCAGCCACTGTAGCCACAGGTGGGAGGGAGTTCTCGGGAGAAGCGCAGAGCACATTGACTCCTGCAGGTTGATGACCTCGCCTGGCTGAAGTCCACCAATCTGAAGGCGCAGGGGTGGGGGGGTGGGGGTTGGGGGGGGGGGGGGGGGGGTTGTCACAGCATCCGTCTGCATTCCTTCGTGGGGGTTTGTTGTCAACATCTCGAGGCTGCTCTGGCGTCAGATTTGGATAACAAGACTTTGTTTGGGTCAGGCTGAGATAATTTTCCTCTCTGCCTTCAGTCTTTACTGATCATTCCAGTCCTTCAGTGAAGCCAATTTAGGTTTTTAAAACTTTTCCATACCGTCCGGTGACCCTCTCCGAGATGACATCCCTTTTGCGCACTAATACCGGTATCGCAGCTAGAACATTGTCCAGCTTACGATTCACCTCGAGTAACGTCCCAGTCTGAGAAGTCTCCACACGGACGGTGCTTTCCTTGGGTGCGGGTTGCCCTCCAATCGCTCCCGTCTTCCCAATTTTTCGGAAAACCAGATATCCTCCCACTCCAATCAGAAGAAATCCAGTGATCATCAGGCCAAACATCCACACGTCTTTGACGTCCTCAATGGACAGCTGGGAGAGGCATACGATCTTCCACTCCCTCCAGGAATCCAGCATATACCCCGCCGGGTGTGTCCACTGTGGGCATGTGGGAGCCCCCTGCTCCATTCTCATTATTGAAAAAGTCTTATCAATCGCGTTGAATGACCAATTCCTGAAATTCATAGTTAAAAATAGGGTTTTTCAGAAGAAATGCAGAGAAACGCTCTGTGGGCAGACAGGACAAAAAGCCTTGGGAAAAAAAGATAAGGGAGCAAAAAGAGAAGCGTCTGTACTCTGTGAGTGCAGGGTTTAACTTCAGGCTGATGAAAATAAGTCGTATTTAAGATAAATTACATCCTAATAGTGCCAACGCTAATACTGTTGTGTACTGTGCCTTTGCTCTCAAAGGTTTAAAGTAGCAAGATCTGTAACCTTAAAAAAACAATCCTTCACTATTTACTCACCTCAGATATGGAGTTCCTTGAGGTGCTCACTGAAGGTCTGAACAGGGTTCTCCTGGTGCGTGGAGGAGGACGAGAAGTCATCACCATCTACTCCTGAGAGTATTTCATCAGCTTCTCTAGAACTCTGAGCCCCCTTCCAAGAAAACCCTTTCCTCCCGCAGCCACCGCAGCCTTCTCAGGTGACTTCCAGTTTTGCTGACCTACCAGCTGCTGCCACCACCACCCTACAGCCATCTCTCTTCAAGACTGACAAAAGCAGGAGATTTTATATCAACTTACATCCTGATCTGCTCCTCTGTGAAGCACTGTGGCTGCTTCCCCTTTTCTTTATGACATCCCTACGGTTTCAACACATGATTTGTCTGTCTGTCTAAGTATTGATATGTTCTAACATAATCTAGCTATCTAATGAGGGCAAGACAACGCGATTCCTGAAGAGAGACTAGCATTCAGGTTGGTAATCTGGTTTGTCAGAAGAGGGTTTTGTCACAGGAATATTCTGCTCTGTTCTCAAGTGTCGTTGAAGAAGTTTATTTTCATCTGTTGCAAACATTTTAGTGTTTTCTTAAGTAAAATGAGACTGTTGTTACTTAGCGTTTAGTTTAAGGAGCTCTCTTGTTTTAAACTCGAGCTGCTCTCTTTTCTCTTCTAACTTTTTCATGACTTTTTATCCTGTCTTCATCAGTAGAACGTTTTATTTGCTTTTCCAAATTTAGGATTGTTTTTGTTCGCTAATAATATTTGATCTGAAAGGACTTTGTTGGCATTTCTGCATTCATAAAGTTCATTTTGGTTAAGCTATATGAGCTGTCTGTCCCAGTGAGAGCAGCTTTTCTACAAGAATGGATGGACAATTGTTCAGTGCAGTGCGTTAATATGCATGAATATTTGGTAGTCACCTCGCAGCACCAAGGTCCTCAAATTATAATCTCGATTTTTTTGCAAAATGATGTAAAAATTCTATTGTTGCAAAGTAGATGGGCTTTTTTTCTTTTAGCCCCGAACCTGTAGAAAGCTGTAGAGATGGATGTTTGTTTTTGGACCAAAAATAGATGAAAAATGACAAGTTCATTATTGAGAATAAACAAATGAAAAATACAACAGGAAACCAGATTGGATGTCACTTTTTATCAGTTCTTTCTTTTAAAATTGACGTCTTTAATCTTCCAGTAATGATTGTACACGTTTCTGTGAAATAATGTTTCATTCACCAGGAATTCTAACAGGATGCTGAATTTTAACGTCTGATGACTTTGCTCTGGTTTGCCGATTAAGTTCTCAGTCACTCCGTTAAAGATGACAATTTTGAAATTAGACAACAAATTATTAAAAACTGATCTAGGGGAGGTGTGTGTGTGTGTGTGTGTGTGTGTGTGTGTGTGTGTGTGTGTGTGTGTGTGTGTGTGTGTGTGTGTGTGTGTGTGTGTGTGTGTGTGTGTGTGTGTGTGTGTGTGTGTGTGTGTGTGTGTGTGTGTGTGTGTTCTTGTACTTATTACATACTGAGGACCATTTTGACCATTTTCCCTACAATGTGAGGACATTTTTTAAAGTGAGGACATTTTTGGTCCTCACCTTTTTTTAGAAGCATACCAGAAGCTTACTATACAGTTAGAGATATGGTGTGAATTATGTGTTAGTTAGGGTTAGGGTATGGGTTAGGCATAGTGGAATCACAAAAATGAATGGAAGTCATTGGAGGGTCCTCACTATGATAGAAAGACAGATGGGTGTGTGTGTGTGTGTGTGTGTGTGTGTGTGTGTGTGTGTGTGTGTGTGTGTGTGTGTGTGTGTGTGTGTGTGTGTGTGTGTGTGTGTCTGTGTGTGTGTGTGTGTGTGTGTGTGTGTGTGTGTGTGTGTGTGTGTGTGTGTGTGTGTGTGTGTGTGTGTGTGTGTGTGTGTGTTGCTCTATACATCAAAGTGAGGACCTAAATAAGTTTTGCGACCAATGTCCTCAGTTTGCAGTCAGGACATTTAAATGGTAAAGACATTTAGCTGGTCCTCATTTTAGGACAATGTTACAGAGCTCTACTGGTCAGTCTTATATGTATGGAGTGAATTAAGTTTTAATTAAGGTTAGGGTTAGGCTAACGTGGATTCTACATCAGACGGCCCTACTGCTAGTAAACAGGTGAAAATAGATGTAAAATCTGCCGGACTTGGTGCCGCCGAACTGAAAAAGCTTGTTGCTGGCTATGTAGTGGAGGAGATGTTACCGATTTCCACTGTGGATTCTGAATCATTCCGACGCATCATAGACAAAATTCCGACTAAAAGTGGTGTCAAACTACCCCAGAGAAAGTCATTCTCAGAATACCTTGAGCGAGAATATTACATAATGAACTCCAATTTGAAGGCAACACTTGAAGAGGTAGATTTTGTTTCCACTACTGCTGACATTTGGATGGTGAATAACAAAAGTTTCTTGGGTGTAACAGTTTACTGGATTAATTCCTCTTTACATCGCAACAAGGCAGCCTTTGCATGTTAGAGGATCAAAGGCAGTCACACATTTGATGTGATTGGAGCAGAGATTGAAGAAATTCATTCCACATACGGGTTGCATGGCAAAGTTGTTGCCACAGTAACAGATAACGCATCCAACTTTGCCAAAGCATTCAGAGTGTATCAGTCCTGTGATTTGGAGTCTGAATTTGAAAAAGAGGATGATGAGGAGGAACCAAATTTTACAGATGTGATAAAAGTTCTGTCAGCCCCATCTACTTAAGGTCAGTTTAGCCTACCTCCACATTACAGATGTGCATCACACACCATTAACCTGATATAAACAAGTGATGTTGAGAAACATCTAAACTCCAGTCCAGAAACCAAGAGTGTGTAAAGGAGCAGCATGGCGAAGTGCTCTGCTCTGTAGCGTCATCAAGGTTCTCTAATTTGTGGCAAAGGTCACATTTACCCAGCTGGGTCAAGCTGGGTCAAACAGTAACTTTCAAGGCCACAGATTAACCAAGGAGTCATGATGTCTGGAAGAACATCACCATTTTATCGGCTGCTGTTCCGTCCCAGAAGAAGGACACTTCAAGTTCACGATAACAATTAAACAATAATATTAATAAAACTCTTTGACTTTATTACTATTTATTATAATCATCATAAATAATCACTTGATTCAGTATAAATGTATTTTAATTACATGAAATGAATGATTATGCTTTGGGTATAATAATGATTAATTATGGTTATGGTTGATGACAGGAATGTGTTCAGCAAATCAGAAGGTCAGCTTCCACCTTATTAGGGATGGGTACCTATGACATTTGAATCGATCCGGTACTAATTCCCGGTACCTACGAATCGATACCAGTACTTAACTGTACCAGTTTTCGATACTTTTGAGTGTTTATTATATTAATTCTCTTTTATAATTAAATATATATTTTTCTCAATATATAACAATATTTGATAAATATCACGATAAATAATATTCAACTGTTCGTATTAACATCGTCCTTGTAGTTTTATAAGCTGATAATTATACTGAAGCAAACATCTTTACTGTGAACTAAATTTACTGTGTATCTTCATTCCTTGTGCCGTCTTTTTTCATTTGATTTTTCCTATTGGGAAGTTAGAATTTCCGAGGAGAAAGCAAGCGCACATTAGCTGATAACAACGGTGGCAATGGAAGCTAACATATCAAGCTAACGTTTTCTTTAACAGTTTATTTAACTGCTGGAGCAGATTAAAACGATGATGCCTCACACTTAGATCATTGTCGCTGGTTTTATCTTCACCCAATCACCCGTCGCATTTAGTAAAGTGAAGCCAAACTTTAGAGCGCGTTCATGTTCTAGTCGGAAATTCTGAGTTCTGAGGAGAAAGCGAACACACCATTAGCGAAACAGAAGCTAACATATCAAGGTAACGTTATCTTAAACATTTTATTTACCTACCGGAGCAGATTTAGATGAGGATGTCTCACTTAGATCGTTGTCGCTGGTTTTATCATGACCCAGTTACCCATCACATTTAGTGAAGTGGACCCAAGCATTAGCGTGCGTTCCTTCTACCATGCTGCTCTGTTTACAACTCGCTCGCAGGGACCGACGACATAACGCTCTTGCGCATGCGCAGCTGTCTTGGCAAGTTCTCGTTATGAAGGACGGGTACCGAAACGAGGCACCGTTTGAAACAAAGTGAATCGGTGCTCGGTCGGTACAATGGAATTCGGTCGGTACCTTAAAAAGTACCGAATTCGGTACCCATCCCTACACCTTATCCATCTAACACAGAGTTTATCCAGAGTAAACAATAACTGCCAACACATGTTTTTGACGCATGACCAAAGCTTTCTTGCTGAGAGTGGGAGTGTTCTGAGGTCTTTGTAAACTAACCTCCACCAGCTTTCGAGTCAGTAATTGAACCAACACCATCCTGAGGAGACGGGAACGGCCGCCCTGATCCTCTGCCAAGCTGTTCTGTCACGCTGATCAGAATAGCTAAGAATAAACGTAAACTGTAACCAGCTGACGAAAAACTCCTTCCAGAAGTTATTGATTTCTGAGTTAAGTTAAGACGAGAAACTTCTTCAGAGTTATGGACTTTGAGACGCCAATAGTTCCACCAGTCGAGTGACCCAAGGAGACATCTCAGGACCGATTTGGTCATGCCAGAGGTTTTTCTACCAACCTCGTGTCTGGAGGAAACATCTCCACCTGTACACTTTGGATCCAAAAGGGGGTCTTCTGATTGGGTGAGGTAGACTTCGACAGATTGTGTTTGATGTGTTTCTCTAAGTCAACAACTCAGGTAGCTGCAAAACATCTTTTCCAGCCAGAACGCTTTCATCTCTCTGAAAGAAACCTTCTGAGAAATCCATTCATTCATCCAAACTCGTATTTCCAATTTAGCTTTCATCCAGCCACAGGTTTGCCTTTTTAAAACAAGTTTAATATCAAAGCTGTTAAAATTTGTCATTAAATTGTCATCCATGAATTGTCATTTATAAGTGTCGTTCAAATCTTAAAGTTTAAGAATTGTTAGTAATAAAATTCTTCATTTTTTAAACTTGCCTCATTATTGAAATGAAACACAGAAAGGTAAAATTATTTCTGGTTATTGAAAAGCAAAGATTCCTAGCTTCTGATTCAAAAATAAACTTTTACAATTCAATTTAATTATCTTAAATTAAACATTAATCTTTGGATTAAAAATAGACCAAACAGGTTGGTGCATGAACTTAGATTGATTATATAAGTATCCGGGATATTTATATATGATCTAAGCTTCATAGATTAATCTGCCTGGTCCTTCTCAGAATCTAAAACTGAATAGGAACAGTTTTGATTCTAGTATGTAGATTAATCCTACAGCTCTTTGGACTAAAGCAAGTCGATTGACATTAGCTGCTGAACAGGTAGAGGAAATCATCCGCAGGAAGCCAATGGTTCCTACATCCACAAGGTAGAATTCCCTGTATGAAGCAATTTCAAGAATCCTCATTATACCCTCAAATGAACTTAATCCATTGTGTGTAAAAATGCGAATCAGGTGCTTTACTGAATAGGAGTACCAGTTCTTGAACGAATACATGCATGTGATGAAGCCCCTGACGGTAGCTCTGGACATCTTGTAAGGAGATGAGTGCACTTATGGAGCTCTACTACCAACACTCACAAGTCTGATGTCAAAGACACTTGCCCTGAAAGACGACCTCTCTAAAATGACAGCCACCCTTCCAGACGTCATTGTCAAGGTAAGATTATAAATTAATATTTGCATTGGATGGATTTAGTAATCTATTATTTATTTATATATATATTTCAACACCCAACATGGAATATGAATGTTTTACTGTGTGTTAAATTGTGTTTACAAATTTTAAAATGATAGAATACAAAACCTAACCTAAAAACAATTACCAGTGATGAACATTAATCATAATATCAACAAAAGATTAAAATTAAGTGGTCAGATTAAATAAAAATAAATGAATCTCATTCAAATTATTATCACAAATATCTTTAAGAGAAAATTATTATAAATATAACATAATAAAATACATAAATTCTTAGATACATCTTATTGTATGTTACAGGCCATCAAGACTCACTTTAATGCTGTTATGGAGAGCCAGGAAGGACGTCTTCCAGCTTGTGTTGGCTGAGAGATGAGTGTAGCCGAGTGCAGGTGAAGGAGCTTCTTATCACAGTGTCATACAACTGCTGCTGCAACTGCAGACGTGCCCCAAGACCTCCAGCCAGTTCAGATGAGATGGACTTTTTTGACTTTGAGATCCAACCCAGAGAATCCTTCTCCACAGAAAATGAAGTAACTGACTATACAAGGTCAGGGCATGAGCTTGAGATTCTGAATCAGTTTCCAACTGTCAAAAAGATTTACATGAAGTACAACACTCCAACTCCATCCAGTGCACCAGTGGAAAGGCTGTTTAGCTTAGGTGGATTGGTTTTTTCCCCGAAAAGGCACTGACTATCTGATAGAACATTTGAGAAGCTTCTGCTGATGTGATATAACCTGTGAATAAGGGAAAATTTTGACCAACGTGTATCCTTGCTCAGCTAGCTAAACGGCTAACAAACAAAGAATACGCCTCGGTAGAACATGAACATTGGAATACGCCTTGGCGGTTCCTGATGACATATCTCCTAGGCAACCGGGGCGGGGCCAAGACATCAAGGCAAGGTTCTTTGGCTTTGAGAAACACCCTGAGTGTGTCCCTAAACTGGAGTTCAATTATCTCCATCTGGAGGTTGGTTGGGGATCTTTCCATGTCAGCTCCAAACTGATTGCTGAGCTGCAGAAACCTCAATTTCTGGTCTTTAAAGTCTGCAAATCACTGAGTAAACTCAGCATTGAGTAAAATTAGTATTTGCAGTTTGTTTCAGACTGAGGAGCTGCAGACGACATCACTGGCATGATGCCAATGACTGTGAACAGGAAAGGAGGGGGCACTTTGGTTGATGCACTAACACTGCAAAGCATTGTGGGATTTGTAGTCTTTGCAGCAAATGAGCCAGTGAACCAGTTCTAATACATAGTCGATATGATCTGTGGGCCAAATATGAATAGACTGCAGGCCCAAGGGCCTGAGTTTGACACATGCTGTATTCCAATCACAAATTTTGATCAAGCCATCCCTTGTTAAATCTGAATTGCTGCACTCAAAACACATGTGATGAGTATTTTTGCAGACGTGATCACCTTGGTCCATCTTGAGGACTTCAGCTTGGAGCCTCTAGCTGTCCAATGTTAGCATTCTCAGCAGAAATTGAAGGATGGCTGCACAATTGAACCCCTCGATCCAGATGAAGTCTGCTTCCAAAATAGCATCCTTTTCTCATTCCATCCGGGATCATTTGGATGGTAATAAATGATTTGTTTTCACATTACGAGCTCCTGCCTTCTTTGAATTAATTACTGGAAGTGACAATATGTTATGTTCTGTATGCCCCTCATTCAGGCCAGGGAGCAGGCCTGTGATCAGATTGAAGCTGTTTCTGTGCAGGGGTTGATTTTTCACACGAGGTAATTCTTCCAATGGTGCCTTGCCAATGAAGACATGGTGTGTGATGTGGATGAAATCTTATGACCTGATCCAGCCAGACAGAGAGATGATGTACAGTTACAGTTCTCTTGTTGCTTTTACAGTACTTTGTCTACATGCAGTGATTTTTATTTGTCAACAGATTTTTTTCTTTCATTGATTTGTTGGCTGATTACTTTAACTCATTATGGTAAATACTGTGAGTGTTGAAATATAGTAAATACATGAAATATTCAATCTGCAACATCAGTGTTGTGCTGTGCTTGGTAGTTCATAGCAAGCATGTCTGCGTACATTGGCTCTATAATCATGAAGAATGTGGGTTTGTCACTATTTTACCTTTTTCATCTAAATGATCCCTTACATAACAATGTCTGGACAAATATCTAACAAATGTTATTTCCCAAAATTAGTCTGTTTCCAAATGTGTATTTTATTTATCGTGGCAGTGTAGAACTGGATGCAATGGTGTCTGATTATTGAGAACTGTGTTGGTTTAATCAAAAGTAATAGCAATATCACAAATGTGTGTAAATATTTTTGACAGAAGTGTGTACGTTTTAACTGGCTTGCAAACAATCTATGAATTATGCAAATTGAGTGTGGTGTTTGGACACCTGTGATAACATATTGAAAACATGAAACCAATTTTCAAAACTGCGTGTAAAAGAAAAAACTGTATGCACTTCGAGATCTTTTGAGACTTGTTTCTCTCCCTAGAAACACAACACCACCATCTAGTGGGAACGATGAGTCATTGTGCTTTCACATTGAACAGTTTTTGTGCTAATATGAAGTATGCACAATAGTGGGAAGGCTCTGGTGAATAAAGTTGACTTAAATCAAAGTTTGATGCCTCCTAATTTCAGTGTTTGCTGTCTGAGTCAGTTGGTTCAGGATTATCTCTGTCTGCATGCGATCATGGGTTCAGGTTGGACAGAACAGGTGCACTGACCTTTGCACCAGAGACTCCAGAAACAGAGTTCCAAACTCTCATATGTGTGACTTTTTTCCTCTTCCTTTTGTGGCTGTGTTTATAATTTAAACCACAACACAACTTATTTAGAATGAAATATATTTTTGGGTAATACTCTTGAGCTAGGGTTGTTTTGCTGTTTTTTATATCACACATTATCTGTGATTTTGAAAAGGAGGCTGTTTGTGAGACAAATGTCAGATTTATTTGTTTATTTAAGGATCCACATTAGTCTTCACCATAGTGAAGTCTATTCTTCCTGGGGTCCACATCATTAAAAAACATTTACAATAGTACATATGCAGTGTAAGAAAAAGAAGAAGAAGAAAATATGATTTCTATAGCGCCTCTCAAGATAAAAATCAAGAGGCGCTTAAACATCCATCATGTTCATGGCAGCCTTCAGTTCTTCAATGTCTTTTTTTACTTCCTTGGTAACCATGATTATAGAAGAGCTTCAGAGCCTTGCAGATGGCAGTTTCAGAACTGATGAACAATGGTACATCAAGGCCTACCTTGCTAGCTGGTCATGGAGCCTGGGCCTGGTAGTGAAGCTTCAGCCTGGGTTTGCCAGTGGCTTATGAAGAGGCCAGGGCTTGGTTAACAAGCTTTTTTCCCGTGGCTGGAGGTGCAGCGGACGTTAGAGGCTGATGGTTGATCGTGGTCCTAGAGATCTAGGGAGTTGCTTGCTGCCGATGGTGGAGTCTTGGCCCAGTGGTGAAACTCAGGCCTTGCTTGAGGCCTGGACCCAAACCAATAGTGGAGCTTATTGCTTCAACTCTTTTGATCTCTTCTTCTTCCTGCTTCCCTCTTTTCCACACATTCAACAGATGATAGTGGAACCTTAGCCAGGGCATCTTGACCCAAAAGCCAGGGATGGAGCCTGCTGCTCTGCTGCTGCTGCCGCCGCTGCTGCTGAGGCTGGAGCCTGGGCCGGGCGTGGCAGCTGAACCTGGAACCAGGATCAGGTATTGAGGCTATAGCCTGGGCCTGTCTTGGTGATGTAGTTTAGAAACTTGATCCTGTGCCAGGCGTGATTGCTGGTACCGAGTCTGGAGCCTTGAGGCCAGGCCTGGTGGCTGGCACCGAGATGCCTGTCCCGGGCCGGGCCTATTGGCCAGAGTAGAGGCTAAAGCCTGAGTGTGGTGTGTCAGCTGGGCCTGGTGGCTGGTAAAACTACTATTTCAGGTAGATAATTGAGCCAGCTCAGCTGAATGAGAGCCTGCTGCTCTGCTGCTGCTGCTCTGCTGACATACTGACATTCTCACCAGAAGCAAATATTAATTGAAAACTGACACTCCTGCCTTTGTTTGCAAAGTTACCTGAATGTGTGCAGAGCTGCTTTCAGATCCTCACACTTTAAAGTCTGAGATTAATCAAGGTTGTTTTAGGAGATTGGCTTTCATGCTCTTATGTAAGCTATTGCAGATCTGACCAGAGTCCTCAGATTGTGTTGGCATGTTAAAGCTGGAAAAAAGTATTTGAATTTCCACATATTAATGCATGTAATACCACATACAGCACAGGTTTGTTGCAAAAATTACACTGTTTTTATTAGTGTCTTTTACTAATTTTCTCAATGCAAACTTTTTTTTGTTGTTGCATAAATAAAGAACAAACAAATGTTTTCAGGGTTTGCATATTAGGAGACACACAGGTGAACACTGGCCTAATTATTTACAGATATCTGAATATTATAGAATAATAATTCCAGGGTAAAACAGGATATCTGAACTGAATTCTATCAGACCAAATGTTTAATCTGCTCTGTCAACATGGAACTTTAACACATTCATAACAGACTGAACAACATCAGTAAATACACTAGAGGGCACTGCTTTCTCATGCTGCCTATCAATGGGGCTTGAGGATGGTTGAAAATGTTTTGGTGTTGGTATCAGTGATACTCAGCAGCAGCAGAGATCTTATATTAAGAAATAAACTTAGTGAATGAGTTAAAATGCTGTATTACACACTGATCACTTGTTAAATGATTTGAATCCTGCAAAACTGACAAAGAAAAGGAGGATGGCGCAAAAGGGGAAGAGGCACTACCGTTAGCACTGGCATCCACATTATTGTGAGAGAGGGCCAGTGATGAACTTGTTTCAGAATACTTGTTGTTGATCACCATATTCTGGTCTTCAAACCATCACAGAGTCACTTTATTAAAGCAGCAGGCACCTCAGATATGCCTAATGTTGATCTATCAGTCTGCATCATCAACCTGCCCCTTGCTGTTTCCACGGTTACCAGTCATAGTGGAGGAGGAGGAAAAGGTTAAGACTGGATGTAGGTTTGTCATCCAATAACGTCAGATTGTGGCAGTTGCACCAACATCCATTATCTGTCACGTAGATTTTAACCTGATAATGTATCAAAATCAGGTCAAACTCTTTCTACTTTTCATTTTTGTAGTTGTGTATTTCAGCCAGTGAAGTGTATAAAACAGGCACTGGCTTGAATACTAATTGAGGTTTTGGTGACAGCGGAAACGCGGGTTAATTAGAGCTTCCATTATAACAAGCAGTTCTGTAGGGGCCGTGCTGTGTTGACTCTGATTCACCAGCTGCTGCTAGTCTAGCAAGGCACAGACCCAGTCCTGTCTGCTCACAGCAGAGGGATTTAGGTAGACCTACGGGACAGAGATGATTGGGTGATTAGGGTCAGGAGACCCACTAAAAAGTCTCAATCAGGCATCATAGGTGCAGGTACAAACAGAAGTGTGTTCAGTTTGGCTGGTCGATGCTTGGGTCACCATTGTTGTTTTGAGCAACACACATGTTGCTCTGGCTCTGTTTGAAGAACAAAGTCTCTTTTTTCTGGTAAATGGCTGGATTTTGTTTAAATTGTTTGCTGTTGGGACACTTCTGTGGCTGTCTGGAGGGGTCGGCGTGTATCTGGGTCAGATTTGGGACTGGGATAGAGAGGTCAGAAGAGGAAAAGGCCAAACATGCACTGGTGATGTCAGGAAGCAAAGAGTAAAGATGCAACTCAGAGCCTGTGTGTGCTCCTGATCAGTTTCTGTCGTTTGGCTGATGGACTCCAAGTGCAGTGATGAAGATGTTGACAACCATGATGATGAAAACCAGGGCAGTAGCCAGGTTCTCCATGGAGTTCAGCTTCCAGTGTTTATGCTCATCATTCAGGTTCCAGCGTACTGTCAACAAAACCAGGAAACACCGTTTCACAACACAAACACGCTCGGTGAACAAACACTATTGATTCCAACGCATAATGCATTCTGGGTTCAATGAGTTCATGTGTATGAATAAGAAAATCTAGAAAGGGGCAGAAATCTGTGTTTTCACAGATGTTTTGATAAATTTCCCATTTTCTTTCTAAAACAAAGATTTTATGTTTTCATGTCAATTCAATTGACTGTTCAGATCACACCATTACCAAATAAAACACATTTTCGACGTGAGGTTTGCATATCTTTAATTTGTGGTTTTTTTTACTGCAGGATATTCCAATTTATTTTTAACTGACACCCTTGAAATAACAGTAAATAATTGAGCTTTTTGCTGAATTTGAAGAAGGAATCTTTTTTATTAAATTATTTTAAAACAACACTTAATTTGACAGATTTGTATGTTTTACAAGATAATGCATGGGGCCACAACTTATGATGCACTGATATGAAATTTTTGGGCCGATATTGATATCCAATGTTAAGATCACTGTTATGGCCGATAACCGATATTTGCCGATATAAATATACTGACATTAATGCTTCTAAAATCTGCAGATTTTGTATAGACTGAAAATTATTGAAGCTGAAATTACTTTATTATGTAAACACAACACACATTTACGGTTTTGAGATTATTTCGTTCACTGTTCTCATGACTAAACAATTACACACACACACACACACACACACACACACACACACACACACACACACACACACACACACACACACTGAAACAGCCAAACAAATGGAGACAAGATAGAAAAAATATCGGTTGTTAATATCGACCCGGTTTTATTTATCGAACCGATACCGATATGTTAAAAATGACTAGCATCGGTCGATACCGATATTAAGGCCGATATATTGTCCATCCCTAGTCACAACATAAGGATGAGGTCTGGACACATGGTGTGAATTAAAGAGTGTCTTTATTAAAATTTGGCCTCACCTAAAATGCCACACAGGCAAGAGCTCCCAAAGGTGATCCCTGATCAGTCTCATCTCCTCAGAAGCTGCACCAAGCAGGCTTTTATTCTGCACCCATAGGTGCAGCCACTCAGTGCAGTCAAGGACTGCACACAGCCAGGCCAATCGAATAGAGGGTTACATCAGGATCACCATTTGCTACGATCCAGGCTGTCTGGGGGGGCTGGGGTAACAAGGACGACACATTACTTAAAAGTATTTACAAAAAGGAAAGCTAATCAGACTTAACTAAAACAACTGGAGTAATCGGCAGCAACTAAAATGGTAAAATTAAATAAACTACTTAGCCAGTATCACTACAAATCAGGGAAACCTCTGCAAACCGAATTAATGTTCATATCGTGGAACCCCCTGCACACAAACGACACAAATTGGCTAAAAGAGATTTAAACAAACGCATGCCAAAGAGCCAACAGGACAGAAAACACATGTCCAGCCTGTTGCTTCCTGATGAGGAGGGCTGGTTGGCTTTAATGCAGTGAGACCCTCATTCAGCTGCTGATTGTCGTTGCCACCAGCTGGGACCTCAGTGTGGGAGAAGCCAGGAGATGCAAAGCAGCTCCTCTCACACAGGAGGGGTAAAAAACAGAGGAGTGAGAAATGAAATAAAAAAACAAACGGCACCAGCCATAACATAGGGAATTAAAATGTTTTGTTCCTGCTTTGGTTGAGGGCCTATTTCATTTAAATGGGTTTGCAAATCAAAATGTAACACCCTGAAATAAAAAAGTGTTTGTCTGGAAATTAAGGTTCAAACAGCAAAGTCAGCATTGTGGATCCAATAGAGTTACAGTAGCAAAGAAAGCAAGTGTCTCTTTTTAAAAGTGCACATAGAACAATACAGAGGAAGAATAAAACGGTCCGAGGGAAGCTTTTATTTCCTGTGTGGCAGTTTTTATGTGTGGAACAAAATATAACTAAATTAATTTTTGATGACTCAACAGAGTTGTCATCTTTACTGTCACATCATCAGCTGATGAATGATGGTCAGTAGGAATAAGTGTAAGAACACTGTGGCAGTGCAAGCATATCTGCCGGGGAGAGAGGAGTGGGTGTGTCAATGAGAGGGCACCGCTGCACAGCTGGAGCGCATCAGTAATCAGTGCTCCTCTGTATAAAAGACAGGAGGAGGAGACAGGAGTTCACCTGGAGAAACAGTGGAACATGTTTTGTGTGACTGCATAAAATATGAGGGAAGTAGAGGGCAACTCAGGGAGAAATTAATGGGCCATTCCCATCTGTACCGGGTCGGCCCGGGCCGGGTAGCGTAGGTTGTTTACATATCTGGGTGGCCTGGTATTTTTCCAGGCCAACCAAGGCTCATTCTCAGCCCTCTTCTCGAGGGGGTCTGCTTCAGGCCGACCAGGGCCAACACACCCACTGCTGACCGCAAATTCACACCTTCCATAACCCCGGGTTTCCACGGGAGCTGTCAGCAGCACGTTACTGCAGCAGCACGTCTTGCTCGCGTGAGCTGCTGCTTGGCCCTTCCCACGAGACGCGAAGCAGCAGGGGAGCAGCCGTCACCGACAGAGCACGAAATCACACGAGTGACTTCGTCAGTAAACACAACAACAAGCAGGAGAAAATTACAACATGGTTTGTGTTTTATGTTCTGTCCGTTTTATAATCGCCAATACGGACCTGAAGAAAAAAGGAGACCGCTAGCTAGGTGATAACTTCTCACGGGGCCGCACAGTTAGTAACGTTTTTTAAAAGTAAAGCAACCGGAAGGCAGTACGTTCTTTATTCTGAAAATCTCGGGAGCTTCTCTCCATTTCCCCGTCCGATTTCCTGTCTTTCCTTCCCCAAAAATGTCGAACTTGACCCGTTTCAGAGGCGTCGCGCGTAGAAAATAGAACCGGCGCGTAAAGGCCGCGACATGCTGCTCCTGAGACGCGGCCGACTCGCGCTGCTGACGGCTCCGGTGGAAAAGGTTCTGTTGACCACAGCGGTTCCTATCAGCAGCTATGACGTGCTGCTGCAGTAACGTGCTGCTGACGGCTGCTGTGGAAAGCCGGGGTTAGAGCAAGCCTCTGATTGGTGGGTAGAATCAGCCCACATGGGCTCAAGACAAGGATGTGTGGAATCAACCGGGCCAGACTGGGGCCGACTGGGGCTACCCGGCCCGGGCCGACCCGGTACAGATGGGAATGGCCCATAAGAGACATATGAGGTGGAGTGATGACTGTAAGGAATTTGTTAAATGGTGAAGAAAGGAATTATAAGTTGGTTGTTGGGTATCTAAAGCACTGTGGTCTGTTGAATAGAATTTAGTTGTTTTTTTTTCTCGCTCTTACTCCGACACACTCCTGCACAGTAGGTGGCGGAAATGCACCTAGCAGTTAGATGCCACCCGCCATTAAACTCGATGAAGAAGAAGGAGTTAACCTGTGAGAGCGGACCAAAGCAGCGACAGAGAGGGAGACACTGGGGAGCTGTAAGACACAGCTGTGATTATCAATAAAAACAAGTGCAACGGACAAACTGGTGTGTAGCGCAGTGTGTGTGATCTCTGGAGTAGCTGTCCTTATACAGACACTTTGTGTGTGAGTGTACATTCTTTCACCGCCAACTATTATAGGTCAAGAAGTGCATGGACTGTGTGTGTGTGTGTGTGTGTGTGTGTGTGTGTGTGTGTGTGTGTGTGTGTGTGTGTGTGTGTGTGTGTGTGTGATCTGTCAGGGTGGGGCTGTGGGAGCAGTATGTAGGCCACTCACATCACGCATCGCTGGGTCTATCAGACTGGGATTGGGAGGGGGGGGGGGGGGGGGGTCTGGACAATTAAAGAAGCCAAAGGATGAAAAGTGAGGGAAGAAGTGGATGCAGACTGGGCTCTGGATGGCAGGGTCTGGGAATTAGAGGGTCAACAAATGTATGCGGACTCACATGATGTCCAACAAGATATCCAAGTCGTTAGTGATGATTAACAGCACCTCCTTTTTCAACAGACATTAATAAATCGTCTCACTCCTGCAGAGATTTATAGATAATGAACATGTCACTTGCTCATAAATCTATTTAAGTTTTTAGATAACAAATTCAGAAGGAGGAAGCTGTAACCTTTTTTTTTTGCAGATGTGGAAAATAACTACATGCCTCCCTTTATTTACTCATGCCGGTGGAGCTGAGCTGATTCGTTGTGACTGGAGCAAAGTTCACCAAAGTTCTGACCCTGTTGAAGGGCATCAAATCTAACCTGTGCAATAGCGTTTACCCCCAGTTCCCCCGGTGTTTGAGCACAAGGCGATATCTACAGCATCTGAGCGTGTGAACAGATATTTCTGATTCTGTGAGTCTTTTTGGTGTTTTCTGTTGATTCCATCACATTCACAGACATTTACCGGCGACACAGATCCACATGTATGCAGCAGAAAATTGAAGTGACCTCCCTCCTTTGACACTCATACACACTGAAGGGCTAAAACCTGGTGAACTCTGACCTGGTTGTCATGGTTACATGCGAGAGATTGGAAGCCAATGGGTTGTTTTTCAAGAGCTGGAGGGTGGGGGGGGGGGGGGGGGGGGTGAAGAGGATTAGATGTAAAAGGATGAAAATGGAAACAGGAAAGAGTTATGAGTGTGTTCAGTTTCTCACCTATGAAGATGAGCAGGACCCTGACTGTGACCTGCAGACAGAGCGAGAGGCTGATCAGGGTGACAGTGGGGTCAGGCCCCTGCTCCAGCACGGCTTTGAGCTGGGAGGCATTGGCCATCAGCAGAGCCACATCCAGCATGCTCTCAGCTGCACTCTTTTTATTGGTGTAGTGGTTCTTGTTCAGAAGGGCCGGGCGGACCGGCCAACCATCTGAATGGGTGGCCTCGAAAGAAGAATGTGACTGGAACAGGAAGAAAAAAGTGTTTATGATTTGGAGATAATGCCTGAGAAGAATGCATGGAAGTAAAAAGAAAAGCACACCATGTTATTCTCTTCAACTAAAAGAAAAGGCAGCGTGTGTGTGGGGCCAGCAGTAAATCTGCTTTTTGAGCAGTGATGGTGAGGATCTGGTTGCCATTCTGAGCTAATTAGGACAACATGCAGCCATTAATGTGGACTGACTCTTGAAAACTGAAGCAATAGTGTAGAAAAAAGAACCTGGCAAAGTGGTAAACAGGATCAAGTCAGTATGAACGCACATTTTCTAGCCGGTTTCAAATCATCCGTGCACCTTGTCTAGAGTCAGACCTTCATTTCTGTGTCCCTGAGCCGCTCTTCTGCTCTGCAGTTTGTCGTCTTTATAAATCAAAGCAGCGATGATTGGTTGTTTTATGCTTGAAATTATGACGAAGAGTAACCCTTCAGTGGGAAACCACTCCACATGATTACTGAGTGAGCAGCAGATCCAACTTAATGACAACTTTTCAACATTTTAGCCACTGTAGAGTGAGCATGCTTTAACCACAGCTTATTTACTACACACTCCAAGCTAACCTGCCATATCCCCTCTCTGAATGATCAGCAAGTAGACCTAATAGTATTAGGTTTCCACTGAATTGATTCCTGTGTGGGCGACGGTTATGTAACAGGTGATTAGCTTGGTTTTGTGTCTGGGTTTGCAGCATCTTAGTGGACTCTGTACTGAAAAGAGTAAATCATACTGGATCAGCAGATGCTGAATAAAGAGTTGACTTGCTAACAAGCAAAAACATGGAAAAACAATAATAATGCACTTTTGTTTGAAGTTCAGCAGCTGAACTAGTTAATACCTTGGTTAAAAATGTCCTAATTTACCTTAACACCACAAGTGGAGATTTTAAAAGAGTCAGCCTAAAACCATCACAATTCTTTTGCACGCATTTCATTGTTCGCAGCCTCCAAAGTTTTTTCATGCACCTGCAGCAAGCAGTGATGAACCAATACATTGCACGGGTGAGAGCTGTTTAGTCCAAGTTAAATAACATAAAAAATAAAAATAAAAGAGCTGTGCCCTTTAATTTGAATTAATGTCTCCAAAACATTTACACAAATTGGCTGGTATTGGCCTGATACAATCTCAGAGGAAAATAAACCAGTCAAGACTGATGAATTCTTTTTTAATTCACTTGTATATTTTGCCACAGCTTCATATAAAATCCTGAAACTTATTTTTAAAACCCTCTGAACACTCAAATAGTTTTTACTTTACGCTGTCATGGCTCACTCTGCGACTCATTACATTCTCCTGCTCTCATGGGTCTTTACATTCAACTTGAGTAGGTGCGTTGTGGTGCAGCGTTCTTGTGACTGAGAATTGGGCCACGGCCTTCTGACGTGACGTGTCAGGGTCAGCCATTCTCCTCTCAAACACTGACACATGCTTTTCAAAGGCAGGCCTTTATCCCTGCGTCAACACACCACATTGAGATAATGCGTGTTGTGAGACCGTAGGTTGGAGTAACTGTGTCTAGAAACACAGCAGCTGACTTTTTACCCCATATCCCCAATAAAAAAAGCAACATTCCTAACAAATACTTGTAGTTTTACATCATGTGCATTAAAGGTAAAGTGATAAGATCATTTGGCTGTTGGCTACAGTGAATGAAACATGTAAAACAAACAAGAAATCAGAGTAAATGCCAATGATTGGAATATTGTTTTCTCAATAGAAAAGAAAAGAATAGAGTGCTTTATTTGTCATTGCACAATAACAGATCATGTCATTAGCACAACTAAATTGTATGGCTGCTGATTCAAGGTGCTGACCTATCAATGTGAGAAATAGTATCAAGTTACCATACCAGGTTTATTTATAAGATGAAAGTTCAAATAATTAAAAGACTTAAACATACGAGAGTAAAATTAAGGCCATGACTAAAAACATAAAAAATATACTAAAAGGTTAGTCCATGTCAGCAGGGAAGACACCACAGAGTAAAACACCAAAAGCCTGATTATTGATCAAAAGTTAAAGGATAAAAATAGGCCTTCAGCACCAACTTTAACCGACACAGTGACTGGGCCTGTCGAACACCGAGGGGGAGCTGCATTCCAAAGTTTGGGGGCAGCGAAGGCCCGCCCCTCACAGGATTTATATTTCATTTTTGGGATGCACAGAAGCAGGTGATCTGCTGATCTCAGGGTTCTGGGAGGTACATAAGGTTTGAGCAGTTCTGACAGATGAGCAGGGGCTGGACCATTCAGGGCATTGAAAACAAAAGTTAAAACCTTAAACTGGATGTGGTATTCAACAGGCGGCCAGTGCTAATGGGCAAGGATGGGTGAAATGTGACAGCGTCTAGAGGGGTTTGTCAGGAATCTAGTTGCTGTATTTTCAACTCTCTGGAGACGCTCAATTGAGGAGACATTGACACCAACAAGGACTGAGTTGGTGTAGTCCAAACGTGAGGTTATAAAGGCGTGAATAACAGACTCCACATGTGGTCTTTTGACTATTGACTTTAAACAAGTGATGCTATGCAGTTGACAGAAACAAGACTTGACTGTAGTACTAATTTGTGAAGTCATGGACAAATCAGAGTCTAGTTTCACTCCCAGACTGGTTACACACGACTTCAAATTTAGAAATGGTAGAGAGAAGTCACCAGGTGCATGCTACGGATTTAGTGGAAAGGAATGGCGTCGTTCTTGTTTACATTGAGGCAAAGGAAATTCTCTGACATCAAGCATTTGACTGCAAAATGCAGTCAACGAGAAGACAAGTTGAATCCGGTTTATTTAAAGCCAAATAAATCTGGCAGTCGTCTGCGTAAAGGTGGTAACACATTCCAAGATTTGCTAAAATAATTTCAATGGCAGCAGGTAAATTGAGAAGAGGAGTGGCTCCAGAATCAAACCCTGAGGCACACCCTGGCGAAGTGGCATAGGTGGAGAGGAAAACTTGATAATGCGGACACTAAATTGCCTGTCTGACAAGTAGGACCTGAACCAGTTAAGTGGGGCCCTTTCACTCCAACTTAAAAAATGGTATAGGTTAAAAACACAATTTAAAACTAAATGCTGGGAGAAAACTATAAAACACAACAGAAAAAAGACATATTTGTTTAAGTTTTCATTTGGATGACACCGAGCCAGGCATAGAGCAGAAAAAGCTGATTAGAGTTCATTAAAGGTGTGCCATTAAAGGACAGCTTGTCACACACCCGTGCCTGAGCTTTTTTTTTTTTACTAAGATCATCTTATTTTGAGAACGGATGGATTGACAGTTACTTAGGTCAAATCTTAAAAAATGATATTATGCCTTACCTGACACAACATCACACAACTAGCACTCAGACTATTTGTTTAGAAAAATACAGCTGCCGCCACAAGACATTGTAGCTCATTGTTGGTTAAATTTGCCAGTTTTAGCTTTTGCTAATTGCACTTAGGGGCTAATACTACAGCTGTAACTCCCAGTCAGTCACAGATTTACATTAGATCCACAGAGATTCATCAAATCTATCATTTGATTTGTGAGATTTTTTTCTAACGGACGGTCAAGGTTGACTTCAGTTATTGCAAATATCCATCTAACTGCTTGTTCCTCACGAAGGTCACAGAGAACTGGTGCCAATCCCCAGTGGTCATCAAGGAATAGGTACATCACTGGGACATCATTTCCAGGACTTAGAAATGAGCCATCAGAGCTGAGCTTCAGATGGCAGCTTTTTGAGTCTTATTTGGATATTTTCCCCCAGAGTGGATAACAGCAAGACAACTCTACCACTTCTACCACTGACTTGCAACACTGATGTTTTATCTCCACAAATAACACAAGCCTGGAGGAGTTCTGCTGTGTGTTGGAGTTGCTAATGCTAACAGTTAGCTTCTACTAGTGTAGACGTTCTCTGCTGTTTCCTGGATACTAAACCAACAACAGCCTTCCCTGTTGTTAGTCAAGATTGGTGAATCCATGAATGCTAAATGACAGTGTGATGTAGATCTGTCAGGCTTTTCAAATCCGTAGGGGTGCCCAATCCTGGTCCTGGAGGGCCGGTGTCGGTACAAGATCTGCTCGGGTGCAGGATCGGCTCGGGGTCCTTCGACTGCTGATGACGTCACATTACTGCAAATCTACTCGGCTTCCACACATACGTTTTGGAAAGACATCAGCAGTTTTGTTAATAAATTCTTGTTTGTTAACACCTAAATGTTTTCTTTATAGTTGTAATTTATTAATAAAACACCATCTTTGTTTTGTAAAGAATGTGAAACTGCATAAAACCAACATCGGACTGACAAAAAATAGAACAGTTCTTATATGTGAAGCCATATCTGTTTGTATTAATGTGGATTTCGTCTGTATATTTCCTTAGTTGTTATCTAAATACATTCTTTGACTCAAAATATTGCTTGGTGTCTTTCAATAAAGTTCTTATATTTCATTTTGCCCCATTTCGTCAACATCAAGAGCTTTTGAGGGTCACTGTTTATCATTTGCTTATATTTTACATTTCCTTTAGAAATTCCAGCATATTATCTCCTAAAAGTGTTGATTTTTGGACTAAAGGACTACAACCGCTAAGACTACGACCGCAAGTCTGTTCTGACCAATCAAAGTCATAACGTGATAACGTAACTTCCGTAAGCTTCATGTTCAGCCAATCAACTACTTTGACGTCATCGGAAGTCGAAGAACCCCGAGCCGATACTGCACCCGAGCAGATCTTGTACCGACACCAGTATCCAGCAAGATTTTGTTGTTTCTCTGCTCCATCATGCTTGATTCAGTTGTTAAATCGCCTGTGCAGCAACTCGTCACGCTCTGCAGAAGCTCGCTGGTTGAAATCAGGTGTGTTGAAACAGGGTTAAAACTAAAACGTTCTGGACACCGGTCCTCCAGGACCAGGATTGGGCACCCCTAGTGTTTCACCATTTATTTACTGTCAGAAGCTAAGTTCAGCCTGCATGGATCAACTATCATCAGAAAAAATCATTAAAAAAAAGTTTTTTCCACACCTTTAAAAATGAGTCCACTAGTTCATGAGATTGTGTGCTAACAAACACATATGCACACAGAATGAGGCCAAAACACGGTTGCCCACCGTTTACCCTTCTGCAGTGGGTGATAATAAAGTTACACTTGGTCAGATTTTAATAACTACATTCCTGCCAAAAAGCTTGTTGCAATGCAGAACAGTGGGTATGTTTGAGTTTCCAAATTCATGAAATTAAACCCAAACCTCAAATCTAATTAAAAAAAACAGCTTTCACTTTACTGAGAGGCCATGTAAAGCTCAGACTGACTTTTCGGCAGAAGAATTGAACTCGTTCAACCCGCACACCTAATCCTGAATGTTTTCTCTTTTCCCACATGGTCACACACAGATTAATGCAGCGCAAATTCCTGCATGTCACTTACTGAGAGACAGCACCTCAGCTGTTGCTTTGTCCAGCTAAGCTCCGGACTTGAAATGTAGAAGGCTTTTTACAGCAACAATACACTTAAGACACTCTGAGACCCTGCATTTATTATTTAGTTAATTGAACTAGCTGTTGAAAGACCAAATTAACGTAACTGCATTGACGCGGCTTTCCCTTACCTCTCTCTCCCTGCATACATGAGCACTTCTTTGTTTTTCATCCGTCATGTTGCGTCAGCAGCCTTCTCTTCTCACTCACCTCAAGCTCTGGCCCTTCTCCAGAGCAGCATCGATCCAACCGTAAATCTAATTTCCACGATTCTCTATAGAGCTTTTAGTTTTACGGCCTCACACAGAGCAGAGCAAGCACGGCTGTTTCAAAACATTGCCTTTACATTTACAGCAGCTGGAAAGTGAAACACTTCTTTCTCTCCTTTTGTTCCAGAGAAAGCTGCTCTGTAATCATCTGAGAAAGAAAATAACCTTAAAGATAAAAGGACAATAACCTTAAAGATAAAAGGACAAGAATCTGTTTGCTCTGGGCTAAAATCTGATTAGTGTTGGATTTCAGGGTGAAACAGACTCGATATTAAAAGCATGTGGAAAGTCTGCATGTAACGTCTTCACTCTACAGCACAACCATGAATTGATGACTCTTTTATTGATCAACGCTGGTAGGAGGCACACTGTAAATGAGAACAATTGTTGGTTTTATTGAGCATACGGGGTTTGCATTTTCAATCTAGTGGGTAAGCGCCGGCCACTGGGTAGTCATAAGGAACTATCTCCCTTCTTCCACTTCCCTACTTCTGCAGTCACACACACCCACACACACATGCATGCACACATGGGTGCATGCACATCCATTTAAAATCAAACTGAGCTGTTACTGACGTCTATTTTCTTGCCCAGTAAAACATGCACACTTGACTGTGGCTATTAACTTCTGTATATAACAAATTTCAATTGTCACATTAACTATGTGTGTCTAATAAAGACTCAGTGAGCCATTCAGTTAACCTAAAACTTAGTTAAATGAAGCATGATGACATTAAACAGAAGTAAGACTGTGTTTGTGTCTGTTTGGCCTGAGCATTTAAACCAGGGAAGTGATAACAAAGAAAGGCACTCATTATTTATAAGGTCACTTAGATGCCACAACACTTTGCTGCAGGCCAGACGGATCCAAATGTCATCCAACCCAGCAAGCCCTGCAGCAGACATGAAGATCCCTGATTAAATGTTCCCAAGGATCGAGTTGCAATCACTCAGCATCATTTCTGTGCTGCAACATTTGTATAGTTTTATGCAGATGATGTAAGAAGTGAGAAAAGGCAAAACAATAACAAAAGTGCAGAGAACACAGACAATGGATACTTTAGTGACCTAATAAATATTGGTTGCAGAAAGTAAGCTTGTAAATTTCTCAAAATAAATTCAACAGTTTCACAAGGTTGATGACTATTCCAATGAATTGAGCTAAATTTTCCCAAGTAAATAAACACATACAAATTTTTTTAATCATAATTCCATTACCATATCTGCAAGATGTTTTAAAAATAGAAAACAAACTAGCAATATTATATAATTTAATTCATGATGTGTCAAAAATAAAAATAAAATAAAGCTATACTGCATAGTGAGCTGTGCAGCAGAGATAAGTGAGCATGTGCTTTCTTGGAAATAAACATTTAAAAACACACA